ATCAGCATACAGCTGTTCATATGACATAGTATTTTATCGTGTATCGCCCTCATAACTTACTACATCCCTCACCATCACCCACTACCACCACCACACACAGTACACACACACTAAACCATTAAAAAAAAAAATGGACTTAAGTGTTTTGCCTGCGACTGCGACGTTTTACATACTTGCTGGGTCTTTTGTGGACATGCGACGGGCAGGCCGGGATAGACAGTCGGGTGTCTATACTAGAGGGTTGTCCTTGTGCCACGGGGAGCTAGGCTATACATTGTTGAGAACGGTGTAGGGTATATAACAAGGGGAGCTTAGAATTGCGCTACTGTAGAGACTCTGACTTGTATGACTGTTCACTGAGCCAGAAAATACTTCCTCGGTCCTCATATTGGAGTTAAGGTTGGAGTAGAAAAAAGAGTTATTCTTACGTTGAAGTCTGGCCTAAGCTTCTTTGAATTCTGATAGTTTGGTGTTTATTCGTGCTCTTTACATGTGGAGGAAAGACCACGCACAACTTACACATGTTTTTGGTGTAGCTTAATTCCAGCAAGTCAGCACTATAAGTAAAACTATTACATTTCGCCACGGTAATACAAGCAGTCACATGACGGACAAGAGGCTGAAGGAACAGAACACAGAACACATTTCTTTGACTCAGGTAAGGATAACTTACTCTCGGTGACTTAATACTTACTTTCATTTTTACTTTTTCATCCTCTGTTGCCGTTAAGCGTCGAGGGGACATAGTTTTCTCTGGTAGGTCAGTTCCGCAGCTCTTTCAATTGAGATATGATTTCTCAGGGTTTCCATGACACCCTCAATCCACATTTTGCGTGGCCTTCCTCTTCCTTTACTGCCTGAGTGCTTGGTGTTATTGACTCGCGAGGCTGGCTGGCTAGGTGACATAGCCTACATAAAAGGTGGCTAAACCATTTTGCTCTCTGTCTTTCTTTGAAATTCTAATGTTAATTGTGAGGCTAAATTATTATGATAACGCGCCAGCCTCTACATTGTGGTGTTGGCGTTTACGAAGATGATCAGCCCGCAGAAGCTAAAGGTTCGAATCCCAAGTGGAAAAGGAGGTTGGAAAAAGAAATGGTGTTGAAGGGACTTTGCTTTTCTCATTTTTCCTGAATAAATGTTTTCTCAAAGCAATGTATTCATGTTCAGTTCTCGAAATTACATGATAAGTTATACTTATACGCTGATAATTAAGTATTTTCTTTGTTCTTTTTATGAAGTGATACACGTTCTTGCAGTGACGCACAGATCTAGGTGGTTGAAAATCGGAGAAGACAGAGTAGGTCACCAACTGGACAAATTCAAAATATCCCTGCTATAAATTTTTAAAATCCAGATCACACCTGTAAAATGGTAAAACACATCATTACATCATCTCCCTAGGTACCCAACGATGCCTCACCTTTGGAGCACCAACACACATCAAGGAAATAATATCTGAAAAGAGGGAAGAAGTACTTGAGCAATCTACTTCCTTTATTTATGTGTACCGCCTCGGAGCTGTTACGATTGCTGATTTATTCAAACAACGTCTATCAAGACAAAAAATAAAAGGCCATAGGATAGATACGTACATTATATTAAAATGTATAGACGCGTACACTATTCAGAGACGTAGTGCGGGGTAGCCCAAGAAGTAACCCCACTTTGTGATTTATGCATCTGGCTAGAGCGTTATAATAATACAAATATATACTACAAATTATTAGGTTATAATATGTTACTGTTAACCGCAACCAACGTTTTCATATTTACGTCATCTGTAGTTGGAAGGAACTATCTACATGCGAGCAACTTTTGAAAAAAGGATCCATGCATAGGAATTTAAGGCCATCGGCGGATGAGATTTTCCCCATTTTCCCCCAGTTTGACCATGCATTTTCCCCCCTCCATTTTTGAAACCTACATCCATTTCCTTCAAAATTTCGAGCACCCAATTCAATCAATTATATTTAGAAGTCATATACACATTTTAAAAAAAATATATATTTCAATTTTAGATCATGTTTTTTAAATATTTAATTCCTTTTTTTTCCGAATTATTTTTCCGACTTTTAATTACACCTTCTCCTTTATTTTTCATCTGAATAGTTTAATTATTTTACATATTGTACACCCATTGTCGACCTGTTCTGAAATAGAGCCCTTTTTTAAGATAATAAAGAATAAAATTACAATCAGTGTTTTTGTTTGGAATTTTGAGATTTTTTGGCTATTTATCCATGTACATATTTCCAGAGTCCATAATTATTTTCATAATTGAAACATTACAAATCTGGCGTTATTTGTTTGTTACATATGTGTTGTAGTTTGTACTTGCTAAAAATGAAAGCCAACAGACGAAAACTAAGAGAGAAGATAGCTTCTGAAATTTGATGAAATTATTCATTGGTTACCATGTGCTTATAATAACAAATAATTACTTGAATTTATTCTTTGATATCTGACTAATATGGATATATCATCAGTGCTATATATAGTCAAGGGATATAATGGACTTTAGAAATTCCACCTGCAGATGGCCTTAAAGTATAAGAATGGTGTTGTATTATAAGGTATTAGAGAGAGAAAGAGAGAGAGAGAGAGAGAGAGAGAGAGAGAGAGAGA